TTTTGTTATTTACATTATTCGCCATCATTTATCGTTTTTAATCTAATCCCTAGTATAAGAGTGCTTCGTTTTTATTTCTTTCTTTTAATTCAAAAAATATCAAATTCTCTATTGACCATTATCCTTGATTAAAGGATAACTACCACCACGTTTTTTCCCTATTCTCTAAATAAAATATAATAGGATTCTAATCTTTTCGAAACATTTACGAATGTATATATTACACATTTATTTTATTCTATTCTTAGAAACGCTTGAAATGGTATTAGCTTTGGATCCAAGAAAGATCAGGATCTTTATATATAATCGGATCTTTTATTTTTTTTTTTAGACTTCTAGCAAACATAGAAGGGTGATTCTTTGGACCATTCAATCAATTTCACAAGATTTTTAAAACCAGTTTAATTCTATCCGGAGATTATTACTCGGCCAAATTTGAAGAAGAGTTAGTCCACTAAAAAAGTGGAGTTATCTATTCAGTTTCAAACATAGCGAAAGATAGGAAAAGAGGAATCGACAAATCTAGATTTGTTGTATGTGTCAACAATTTCAACGTACATGTTCGACGATCAAATTCGATACGTATAGATTTTAGTATTAAATTATATCAAAAAAATTGTGATATAATATCATAAATTGCTAAAATAATAACGATAAAAAAATGGTACAAAAATTATTATCAATTATTTACTAGGGAAAATAAAAGGGAAGAAAAAAGTATTTATCTTTTATTCGTATTTTTAGTTTTCACGGTTTTCCAAGTTAGTTTAATATTTAGATTAATACAAATATTTTCGTATGTAGAGATTCGATTTAATTTTTTGCAACATAAAAAGCAAAGTTTTTGCAGCTCGATATCGCATATTCTCGTCGACTGAAACGGGCAATTATTTATCGAGCGCAATTGAGACTAACGGGCCATGTGTCTGATGTTTGATTATTTTCCTGGCGCCCCAATTAGTGGTCGCCATGCAATCTTACGATACTTTTTTCATAGGAGAAAACGATCATCGGAAGTCGTTAAAACCCTTTTATGATCCCATGATTCGCGCTACAGATACTTCTTCTCATCTCTTTCAATATCCAATCTTTCGTTAATTTATCAGTATTTGTATATAAATAGATTTTTTCTTCTCCATCCTCATTTGAAAAATTTCGAAATTATTTTTTTGAAAAGATTTTAGAAGATTAGGAGATAGTTTAAAGTTGTTTTTCTTTTTTTTCGAAATAACAAATCATTGTTTAAACTAGCCCCCCGTTTTTATTATTTCGTTACATGCCGATAGTATTGGAAAGAATGGCAGTTGGTCATTTCAATTTCACTTGGATGGGGAATTATAAAACGAAGGGGAACACGTACGTTATCAGAATTTTCAGTCGTGATAATTAATCGATTTTCACCGCGTTTTATCAAAACTTGTTAGCCAACACACGTGTACAACGCCATGCGTTGATGGCCAAGTGATTTATCATTAAAATATCCAGAAAATATGGCGTGGCAAAGATTTCTGTGGTAATTAATTCAGTTCAGTAATTACGGATAAATGCAGAAAAAAAGAAAAAAGAAAAACGAATATCAGTTTACCTCGATTAACAGAATGAAACATTCAATGAAACTAATTCCTATAAAAAAATAAGCTTTATTTTTTCTCCACAAATGTAAAAATATCGAGGAAATTATTCAGAGAATAGTTACATTCGTTCAACTTTACGTAAAAATTAAATACACAAATGATTCTCTTGCAAAATTCGAAAATAATAGCCATTGAATTTCGATGAAAATTAAAAAGATTAAATACACACAAAAAAAAAAATTCCAAATACCGAAATATCCCTCGATTCGTTTTCCTTTCGAAAGGAAAGGACGCGAGTGGGCTGATGAGGCGAAACTTTTATACGCCATCGAACGATAAAAAGTAAATCGATAATCGAAGCTTAAATGACGTTAATGACAATTCGACGCGGTGCATAACACGTTTCGCAAAGCTTTCCAGAAAAGTTAACCACTGAAAGAAATAAGATTTACAAATAGGAGAGGAGTGAAACCAATATTTTCATTCCCGTGGATTGGAAATTGCATGGAGAATTTTATTAACTGTAATTGTGAATTGAGAAAGAGAGAGAGAGAGAGAGAGAGTGAGAGAGAATGTTTTGGAGGGATATTTCCAACACGTTTCAAATTGTGATTTTCATTCGCTTTGGTAGATTGAACAACAGGCTTTTAGTAACAGCTGCAACGGACGGCGGTAACTCGATTATACGGACATTTCTTCACTCGTTTTCGCGTCACTCTCTATTTCTGAAGTTTGATCTCGTTTTTTCGTTTTTATGCAAACACATTCTCGCTCCTCCAACTTACGTACTTAATGCCTCTCCCGAATAACGATCGCGATTCACTAGAGTCATCTATTACCCTCACGAAAAAATCCGCCATTCTAATAACCCTATTATATTTCCCAAAGTTCTGGTCACGAAAGTTCCATTAAAACTTACGTCGTGGTTTTTCCGTTTCCCCGCGATCTCGATTTTGTCGAGACGATCACGTCACTGCCGTCCTCAGATTACAATTTGTTCGAAAATTACGACACGTTTGAATGGCGCATACCTCGTTCCATTAATCCAAACGAAAAACGTGAACACACGTGTGCCCGCAAAGTGATAGCCAGACCACTGTGTAATCGTGTTTAATCCAATCGGGGCCGGTATCGCGCTTAGCCCCATTTAATGATCCTAAATGTCTTGGTTCCCGATTTACGAGCTGCTGCCTCTATCTTTGTATAGGATCAGTCGTCGTAACGTGTCTTCGCCGAGAATAAATATCGCTGCATCCAATCGTATATCGGTCTAGCCTCTAGCGATTGAATCCGTAAAAAAGGTTTATAGGCTTACCGATCCTAGGAAGCTTTATCGAACCGTTCCTTCCTTCCATGTCGTAAAATCTATTTGGCAAAAAATAACGAGACTGGCTTTGAAACTTCGTGTACACACGCATGCATTATAGTTCGATTTCGAACGTGGAAGAAGGATCTTCCATCTTCGGCCGAGATTGCGCGTCAAGTTTGAAAGATAAAGGCGTTGGAGCGTATCACAGCGTGAAATTGTCGGGGTGAATTAAAGTGGTGAGTCGATTTGATCGTGCCATGTTTTGCGGGATCAGCGAATTGAAATGGATTAGATAAGCAATTTTAAGTAATTCCTCGGGAACAAATTATTCTTATTCGCCAAATCGAGTAGAAAATATCTTTCTTGCAATTTGAACCATGATTTAAGAAGTATATAATCTTCCGTTCGATGTGTGTACAATCGCTTCGAGATTGGTTAAAACTTTTCAAGATTGTTCTTGTAGAAATAATATTTGCTAAGGTTTCATAATATCCGTTTTTAAAACGATATAGCACGAATCCCGTGTAAAGTTTTTGAAGGGAGTTTATGAAACTGAGTTGTATCAAGAGTTTTTTCAAGAGATCGAGTCGACAAATTTTCACAACTATGACTTCCGTTTCGAGATATGAAATTCTTTCGCCAAAGGTACAATTGTAATTTTGTCTGGTGAGATCTCATTGTCTCTCGCGGAGCAACGAGCGAAACATTATTCAGTTCACAAAAGAGGAAGCTTGCCTGCAAGAGAATACAGGGAATAGTCTAGTGTAGTATTCATTTTTCCAACAACAACAATGGAACAACGATGGAACCTCTGAATATAAATTCCTCTCCCGATTAAGAGCTTATTTCACGTGGAAAAATAAATAATATTTAAATAACAATTCGCCAATACGTTTGAAATTTAATCTCATTCGGGGGAGGACGTCGAGAAATGAAATTATTTTATTTCAATATCTAACTTCGCAATTTGCGGTCCCATTTAACCCTAGCTTAATATCGTTCGTTCTATTGTGATCCTGACCCATTTAATTCCGGTATTATATCGTACCAAAATAAATAGAGGATCGAGGAAATGCACACATTTTTAGAACACACAATTTTTAGAATCATTACCGTTTCCTCCATTTGGAATATTCGTGGAATTCCATCTGAAATCTTGAAGCTTTCGCATCTTAATTTCCAAGAAAATATATAAATTACAGAATGGCGATGCGAGAAACGACTGTTATCATTAACGACTAAAATTAAACCAAGTATTTCCAATCTGATATCCCCAAGCTGGAACTCTCTAATTGAGCAGAAATCTGATAGCGCGCGCGTACAGTCATTATTGTTTTCAAAGAAATTTCAAGGGTTTGGAGTACTCTTATCTTCATGCATCGACCGTGTCTTGAGGTCTTAGGGGAATGAAAAAGCTCTGCCCACGCAAGGGTAGACGCGCGAGTTTGAGACTTGGTGGAACAGAACCGTCGATCTCGACGAGGTTACAAGAAACTAAGCGACTCTTTCACGACTCGTAAAACGCTGGAGGCACGGTAATAGAAAGTATTAAAGGCTAAAAATTCTTGGTTAACGAGGTCACGTAGCACGGTGAATTAGTGTAACTCTTTATCGCGACGGAAATGCACTCCTACACCTATCTTTTTCTCTCTCTCTCTCTTTCTCTCTTTTTTTCCCCTCGTGCTTTGCGAATTTATCGATAACCTTTTTTATATAATGCACAGTATAGAATGAGCAACGGAACTCTCATTAAATTGGACTTAGTTCATGGCGAGCGCGTCTCCAAAGAATCATCGTATCGAGACGCTTATTAAACCCCCGTCTCCCTTTCCTCTTATAAATATAAATCTACTTTGACATTAAACTTATCACCTTTATCTTTTCGTATTATTTTCTAAAAAAAAAAAAAAGAAAAAAGAAAAGAGAACCTTAAGCTTCTCGCTTAAAAATTACACGCGTCTTTTTCAATCCGTGCAATTTCCTTCTCGCCTTTTACCCCTCCGCGAGGTAAATGGCTCTCACCGTGCGTCTCCCCGTGAATCATTTCCCCATTTACCGTGATATTCCGCCCCATTTGCCGAGAACTTTGGCTAACACGTTTCTTTCCCAATTTCCAGGGAGCAGAGATTCTCTGAGCGAGCTGGTGAACCGCCTTGCGGCCATTGGCCATTGGCCGGGGAGGAACGCGATCAGGAAGATATGAAAGGCGAGCGATCATCCATTTCCGGAATAGTGCTGGTGACCAGTGCGAAGAGTTTGGTGAAAGGATGAACAAAAATATGTTGAGAGCTGGAACCACCGTATCTCCGTTGTTCCCTCCGTCACGGACGACACCGCCCCCCTCGTCTGTCCTCAGAGTCACTTCCGCGATTGCCTCGACCACGGATTATACGAGCATAGGCAGTATGTACGGTGTGATCGATCAGATGGTGTTGAAAGAGGATGAGGAACAATTGAGCATGGGGGAGAAGTACGTGCCGTACGAAGATCGGCCGGAAACTTATATCGTGCCGATCGTGTTCCTCCTGATTCTTCTGATCGGGCTCACCGGAAACGGGGTGCTTGCGCTCACCATACTGAGGCACAGTAACATGAGGAACGTTCCCAATATTTATGTCTTCTCGTTGGCGCTTGGGGATCTCTTGGCACGTGTTCATTTTTTATCGTGGTGAAAACTTATCCCTCGTTCGTCGATAATCTTCCATCTTATTCTTATTCTTATTCGTGATGAATTCGTACGATATTTTACAACCTATTTCTTGAGATAATTTCTTTTAAAATTCACCTTCCATAATATTTCGTTTTGCGCACACGTTTCTCATTTAGCTGTTGAAATTTTTCCATTGTTTTTTTACTCTTACGACAGAGAGAAAGAGAGAGAAAGAGAGAAAAGGAATAGAAATTACACAATGAAGAATCTTAATTTTTCTCGCGAAGATCGCGAAGATCTTATTTTTAAAAATAAAAGCTTATTTTTAAAAATACCTCTGCGATATTGAATTAATAGTCTATTCGATTTCTCTGACACTTGGTTCACACCGCAGGTGATCATGACGTGCGTACCATTCACGTTCACCGTTTATATCCTGGATTCGTGGCCATTTGGGCTCGTGCTCTGCAAGGTATCCGAGTGCGCCAAGGATATCTCGATCGGAGTCTCCGTCTTCACTTTAACGGCTCTATCGGCGGACAGATTCTTCGCCATCGTGGATCCAATGAGAAAGTTTCACACCACGGGTACGAGCTTCGATTTCCCATTTTCCTGTCCTTAAGTCTTTTAAGTTCCGGTCGCAGGCAGTTAAAGGGGAATTTTCGCGATGAGAATGAAGTGGATGCAAAACGTTCAAACGGATTCGAGCAAAGAAATCGATGAAAGTTTTCAACTTTCCTCCTTTCCTCGAAAATAACTTAATAGACGTAGATGATTAAAAAGTAACGAAGATCCCCCCAATCTTTATTTCCACGAATATTTGCTTACAAGATTTTTCTCTTTCATCGTGATAATATAATAATCTAGGTAGACTGTTTCCATAAGAAGAAAACTATTCGAACGAGAACGTAGACATGATCGATTTTTATTTGTTCAAGGTACTGGAAAAAGAGCAACCCGATTCACTGTGATAGTAGCCGCGTTGATTTGGCTATTGGCCATCATGTGCGCCATCCCCGGTTCCTTCTCCTACATCAGGGTCTTCAAAGTGAACAGCAGTATTAGCTTTCGCGTGAGTTCAGCATCCATAAGGCAATTAAGCTTTAATTATTTTTAACTATTATATATTCTATCTTGCTGTTGTTCTTGGCAACAGCGATCAACTCGTCGTTCCATTTTATTATGCGAGTTAAACACGTTTAATCGAGCTATCAAAACCGTAGATTTTCAGTTCTGGTAATTTTTGTTCAAAGGCTTGCTACCCATATCCCCCGGAATTCGGGCCGAATTATCCAAAAACGATCTTGGTCTGCCGTTTCTTCATCTACTACGCGGTGCCGCTCATCATCATCGCGTTCTTCTACATCCTAATGGCCAGACACTTGATGCGCAGCACCAGGAACATACCCGGTGAGATGCAATGTCAGGTAAAATAAAACTTATATAAAAGTTATATATTGTAAAATATACCATTAAAAAAGTTCAACGAAAGTTTCTCCAATTTTTGAATTTGCATAATCGTTCCTTTCGATTGTTATAACAGCCTTCAATTCCCATTAAACTTAACGAAGGAACTATCAGTTTGTTAAGAAAACTCAACCACTCTCATCGATTCTTTCCAATAATTTTTGCAAAGTTTAATGTATGAAGATTTTTTTTAAATAGGCAAGTAAAGTTCAGAGCAAATTTTTCGGTTGGCGAAAGAAAAATTGTTGTTTAACGAGAGGAAAAAGTGAGATAGTTATTTTTTTTTTTTTTTGCAAAATCATATATCATCTTTTATAATTGTATCGTTTTGATTGTAGGTGAAACAAGTGAAAGCGCGTAAAAAGGTGGCGAAAATGGTGATGGCGTTCGTGATTGTTTTTGCAGTGTGCTTCTTCCCCCAACATGTGTTTATGCTGTGGTTTTACATCCATCCAACGGCACAGCAGGATTACAACGATTTTTGGCATTATTTCCGGATCCTCGGTTTTTGCCTAGCGTTCACCAATAGTTGTATCAATCCTATCGCTTTGTACTGCGTGAGCAGTACATTCAGAAAATACTTCGACAGGTATTTTCAACGAAAAAAAAAAAAAAAAACATTTCCTCGATTTCCTCGATTTATCGTATAGTGAATGAAAATCGTGTCTCGTTAGAACGAATCGAAAATCAATTTCGATTTTTAAATATTCACGGTTCGTGGAGAGTTATCGAAAACGAAATATCAGGAGAAAATTTTGGCAGCAATTTAACGCCTACGGAATAATCTTATTTAAAGAATGAATCGTATCACAAATTATTATCAATACGAGTAAAAATTGCCCGACTAACGCTTAATCAATGCTTCTCCGCTTCTATTCAGTTACCTGAATAACCTCCCCCATGAATTAGCCGCACATTTTCACGGTTTCGGATGAAAATCATTTCCGCGAGAAATTCGAACGAATTCGGTCGTTGCTATGAATATTTATTGCCTACCTGGGATAGAATTTGAAATATAATATAAAATTGACTTTTTTTTTTTCAACATCGTTATTCTATACCAAACTATTTCAAACTTCAATTTCATCCCCCATATATGATTTTAACGACTTGCTTTAATTTTACTCTCGCGCCACCATTCTCTTTCTCTCCCTCTCTCTCTTTCTCTATAATTCGAAAACGATTAATTACACGTTCAAACTTTCAAAGTTTACTTACCAAATTTATCTTTCCGACTCGAAAAACGCAAAGCCTATTACGAATAATTAAACACGCTCGTTTAACGTGCAAACTCGAGCAAGATAATCAATAGCCGATTGTTCCTTATTACCGTTAAACCGAGGAAAGTAACGTTATTACCAGCGTATAATAGAGCAAAGTCGTTAAACTATTATCGTTAAAATTAAGCGAAACTTGGTCGCAGGTATCTGCTTTGTTGCGTGCCAAGGCGGATGCGGAGGCGACATCGTCGGTCATCCGACTTGAGCTCACGGGGGCGGGGTCAAAGTTTCTCGTTAATAAGCTCGAGAAGGTACGACTCGAGGCGAGGGCAGCGGAGCGTGATGCACATGTCGATCCTTGGAAACGATACCAGGACCAGTGTCCCGATCAAGGAACAGGAAACGACCATTAGCCTAACCGGATGTCCGAACGGAGTGGAGGACGGATTGAGAAGCCATCGAAACTCGACCACGGAGCAACCGATCAATCGTGAATGCTAAAATCGAAAGGACTGTGATGATTCAGCGACCAATCCGATCCCTGTGTTCTTCCTATGAACCAGACTTTTCGATTAAACGTTTTTTCGCGTTTTATCCTCAGAATGCGAATATATTTGAGCGTGTTCGAAGATGTTGACAGTTGTCCTCTCGAAAAGCAAACATTTTGTAAACGAATAATCGAGAATGGACGACAGAGAACTTTTACTTTTTGACATCGTAAATCTCTCTCTACTTGCGAGAAACAATTTTTCGAGAACAATTCGCGAGACAACGTTTAATATATTTGCATCCTTGGAGTTAGGATCCAGGAAGGAGAAGATCCTGGGATTCAACGTGCATCTCGTCCGTTCGTCGTCCAATTTTTATCCTTTCGTTTTTCTCGAGTGCACGAACATCGTCGAGATTAATAATTATTAAAAACGGAAGAAAAAAGAATCTGTGAATTGCGTCGATATGGTTCGCGGGAACAAAGACTGCGACAAATATGTACATTTAGAGCGCACCGATTTTTGTGAATAAAATTCAGATATATAAATCCCACGTTTCCCTTCAATCTCTCTTTCCTCTAAATTCTTTTTCATTACTCTTCCTTATTTTCTTCTTCAAGGGACAAGAGGAACGAAACGAAAGAAATAGAAGACGAGATAAAAATGGCGCCGCTGATTCGACTTAAAAATCCCACGGTGTTCAATTCTTCTTCGCACGGATATCATCTCATCGTTTTTCATCCACGATTTAATATCTCATCGGTCCGCTTTTTCCCCCCACCAAAGAAAAATGCTCCTCTTATCGCCGCAGAGCGTCGAGTTAAGAAACTCGATACGAGTCTAACTTCAGGCCGTCGACCACCGAGCATCGAGTCCTCTCTGGACAGCGTCGAATCGTTTCCCTTTCTCGAAGCTGCGTGTTTCCGCGTCCAGGAAAAAATCGAGGGCTCGAAAGTCGTCTCGTCGATCTTCCAACTTTCCAACGGGAAGAAATGTCTGCCGGGCATGTATTCGAACGACTACGATGACGGTACTCTTATGAATTCCTATATTAGATGGAGTAAAAGGTACAACGTCACCTCTCTCCCATTCTTCATCGTTTCTTTTTTGTTTCTCTCGGCCACGGGTCGCACATGTGCATCGGTTCATCACGTTCGACCGCGAAATTGAGACACGGCCACGATTCGATTTCACGAATTCGTTCTGTGCAGACTGGCCAGACTTCATCAACGTACCCTCCGGATTTATCAGGAGAACGAGTACATGCATCACGACGACCAAGGTCCGTACACGGAATTCAACTAATCCCGACCGTATGACGATAACTAGGTTAAAGTACGATTCAAGCACGGTACACGTTACTTCGTTACTTATTTCGTTACACGTTCCCACGATCGGTCCATTGTTGGGGCCGGTTGAAACGCTGGATTCCTCCCTCGATTCGATTTCATTCATTGTGTTTAAACGTTTGCACTTTTCATTATTATTTACCAATTGCGGGATTCGATATGTAAATTAAATCTGTTTCGTTCACGAGTCGGTAAAATTATTTTTTAGATTGGAAATATTTAATAATGTATTCATCTTTCTTATTTTTATCTCGAGCTATAATAATTGAAAAAGAAACACAAGTAAAAGAAGTTTCGTTCGTGGAAAATTTAAATTTCGTTGATATTTCTTTGCGTTTCTTTTCTTTTTAAAATTAAAATTATTAGAGATACGAGATAACTCGTGTGGGAATAACTCGTCTTCGTTTCCATTGTATCGCGTCGAGACGAGAAATACATTTCGAGAGAAAATCCCTTTTGTGTTGCTTGCATCGGCCTGACCGCTGTGACGTCAATTTCTTAATATAAAGAAACATTTAAGTAACTGTTTAATCTTCGAGCAGACAAACGATCTCGACAGAGAGCGAGGAGGTGAAAGCTGACGAGGAAGCCTGCTGGAAATGCAGAGGGGAAGACGTGGACGGGAACTCGGTTTCGTTCCCTCATATCCAAGATCTCTGTCCCGCTGATAGGAAGAGGATAGCTCTACTGGTCAAACAATTAATTAAGTAAATTCCCTCCGCAATTTATATCGCCATACACGCATTCAATTGCAACTTTACGTTCAATTAATCATTATTATATTTCAATATCGAAGCTCATTTCTATCAGATAGGTAATTAATTTTCTTTATAAAATTCTAACCGTATTTTCCTATTTAATTGGGTAATATATAATCGGATAATCTCATAAATCACATTAGGGATTTTCGAAACGTTGTACATATTGTACATATATTCGAAATAGTATCGCTAATTATTGATACTTAAAATTTAACACATTCGCTACCGCCATTTAAAGAAACATTTTTATAAGTTATATTAATTTGTAGAATATGAAAAAGAAAATGAAAGAGATAAAAGAGAAATGTAGTTGATAACTCTTTATATTATGCATTTTTGTTATTTATTACGAATATTTAAGAAAAATTTAATGAAAATTGATAACGTTCATCGTTCTGGAATATCATATATCAATATATAAAACAATTAACATTAAATTATCAAAATTTTGATATAATCCCTTTTGTTGATTATATTTCACATTTCACAAAAAATTTCTCTTTAAGAGAAACGTAATAATTCGTAATCATAAACAGTAGAAGAAAATTTAACAAACAGTTATTAACTCAAGCTGTCTAACTCAAACCTCGAAGAAACAACACTCCGCATGCATCAACCTAATACATCAATATTTCTTTGCCCGGTATTACTCCAAGTTTAAATAAACATTTATCGCCACGAGGAAATAAATCTCTATTATAGCTTCCTTCCAACCATTTTATCATTCCCGTTTCCTATTTCTTCGTCCCTGTCCCGCACATTTCTCTCCGTCATCGATCCCAGCGATATATGCACACCTCGGATAAATTTCACCGCGCGTGATCGCTTCCAACTGTTACTAATATACCAGCATGATGAAATATTTGTCACTGAAACTGATTACAAATGGGAGGCGGCCATTAAAAGTTTGACCGCGCGATTTCTCGTTCGATTCGAGAGAATCCCGTCCCAGGGAACCAATCATGTTCCTCGCCCCCAACGGATCAATCCAGATTTTTCTTCTCGAACATATTCGAATGCAAGTCGGACGCTCGATCTTAATTAAGATAATGGCGATCGCATGCCTCGGCCGCGTTTCCTCCTTCGAAACGCCGGTCGAAAATACCAGTTTCGAGTCGCGTAATTAACACGAACGATTTAAACGCTTAAGGGAACGTGTTAAGGGAATTGGCGCACGTTCAAATTTGTGATTCTATTAAAAAAAAAAAAAAAAATAAAAATTGGATAAAGCGAGCGAATTTTTCCTTTTTCGTTTCTCATTTCGTGAATTAAATCGACCGCACGACGTTTTTCGCGTATAAAGCATCGCATAAATTTTCGTAATTCCCCGCGATATTTCAACGATATTTTGCCGGGAAACAGGTGATAGAACGCTGTTTTTCGCGCAGATGCACCAAGGAAATGCGGGACGCCAAGTCGGAGCTGGCGGTGAGCGAATCGGAAAAGGAAGCAATGAGGAATCAGTATAAGAAATCCCTGGATCGTCGTGAAACCGAGAAGAAACAATTAGAATTTCAAGTAATGTCGTTCACGCTTGATTAAATTGTGACCATTCCTCCACCTCTTCGTCTATTTTATTCTTACAAAAAAATTTTCTTCTTAAAAAAAAAGAGAGAAAAGATGCGATAAAAGATCGAAGTTTAAAACTTTTTAGAAGTTAAAAAAGGGATCGAATGAAAAAAAAAAGAAAGGGAAATAGATTATGATAAATTGCTTCAGGGAAAATTTTATAATCCACTTTAATAATAATGATTAATAAATAACCAGACATACGATTGGATCGTAAAAATATAAGAAATAGAAATAAAATAAAATAGAAATTTAGATTTCAATCTTGATTAAATAAGTTTAAATCAAAATCGTTCTTTGTTATGTAGATTTTGTGAATCTAGTGACTATTTATAAATATAATAGATATATATATATATATATAATTGGAGAAGTTTTGCAAAATGATCCTTCAATTTAAAATATCGAAACGTCGAATAGGAGTGTTCATTAATTGCGGAATGTAGTTTTAAATGAAAGTTCGATCTATTAGGTCAATAGTGTACGAAGCTCTTAGATTATCAATTGATTCAAGTTCGTTTTCAAGTATAATTTCAATGAAAATTGAACGAGAATCATGCTTATTCACGAAGGAATGCTTACTGATCATTGATATTTTACGAGATAAATGAAACGTAGAGAAGAATTTCGTTCGATATATCACGTTTCATGATATTTTATTAGCTGGAACAGGCTCGAGTCGAGGCGAAGGAGTTAAAGATTCGGATTTCACGTATCTTGGAGTTGTTGACACGGCAAATCGCCACTCAGGAAAAACAATTCCTCGAACTTACGCAAACCGTGAGGAATCTGGTGAGTGAGAAATCCCGATTGCAGAATGCTCTGGACGAGAAGCAGTCAGAAACCAATGCACTCGAGGGTAAATTTCAAAGAACAAAGGAACTACTCGAGGAGGTGAAATTAGAAAGGAGCAAGGATACCATGAGGAAGGCTCATCAAGCTTGTCAAACCGATGAATTCGAGATAACTACGTAAGAGAACACACCGAATTGAATGTTGTAGATGTACGATTAAATTGGAAAATTTTATGATAGGTTTTAATTCTTCTTTTTTTCTTTTTTCTAAAGAGAAATTATTTATTATGGAAGAAAAAAATGAGCGGGCTAAATTTTAGGCATTAATTATATATTGTAGGAGTAATTTGGAGGAATTCGATAAAGAGTCCATGTCGTATCAGATACAAAATGTACGGATCAAGAGTAAAAATGATCTGGACGAGCCTTCTACCGAGGGGACGTTATTGAGAGAATTATTCTTTAGGAAACCGAGCCTCGAGGAAAGCGAAAGTTTGGATATTATTCCAGTTCTGTCAGAGACAGACTTGCAAACTAAACATAGTACCAGCACTATGCTTTTTCCTTGATGTGTTATTTGAACGTGCTCTTTTTGTTTAAAAATTTTAATGAAAGTTTCAACTGTCATAAAAATTTTATTAAGTAAAATTATAAATTATAAACAAAGTGCATATAAAATATTTTTCTTTCTCTATATTTTGATGTTTTAAGATAAACGAGATATATAATAGATCTAATGTTTAATTGTCTTTTCTTGTTCTCGAAAAGAATCCACAATTTCCTTTATCATTTATCATCCTCAATTACCAGTATAGAATATACTGGTGGTTAAAATTTGTTGATTAAATTTCGATGTGAAATCACAAATAAAATATATGATGGAATATTTTATAATTTTATAACGATATTAATATTTTAAATTTATCGTAATTTGTTTAAAATCAAATTCAGAATCATTCTAATATAAAAATTAAAGAAAAATTCGATAAAAATGATTGTATTAAAATAATATAAAGTTTTTATCCTAGAATGAGATTTTAAAATTATTATAAAATGTTATGATAAATAAAAGAATTTAAAAGTGTACATTAAAATATCAAAAAATGTGTAACTTATTGATTATTATAATTACATATTGATTATTATAAATCTATTTATGGCTATCTTGTAATTATTCTCCGAAAAATAAGATTTAAAATATTCTAACGCATTATAAATCAAAAATTAATACTATAAAACAATAAATTTAATTATATGTTGTAAAAATATACATTAATTATTACATATAATATTGTAAAAAATTGTTAAATTCATAAATTAACAATAAAAAATGTAAAAATTGATAAATTTGATTTGATTTTTGATTATTCTGGTCTTCGAATTGATTTTGACATATTCGGTAAAATACATATATTGTCATCGATTTTCGATTATTACCATTTCTTATAAATATGATATAGATCGCGACGATTAATTCATTTGTTAGCAAACCTTCCTGATAGATAGATCGAAATTACAACATTTTAACTTTAACTTTTTTATATTAGATCGAATAATTTTTAGTCTTTTACTTTTTTATCATTTATTTTAAATTAATACTGATATCATATTTAGCACATTATTTATTCGTTTTATTTTTTAATTTTCATTTATTTATTCATTTACATATTACTTTATTCAAACATATTATTTAATTATTTTTTGATTTTCTTATTCCTTTAATTATTTTTTTTATCGAAAATTGATTGATTTATTTAATTAATAATATATTTATTTATTAATTCAATTTTATTCATTTTTTTATTTTTATTATATTTATTTATTCGTCGTAATAAATTTTTAGATGCATAAATTAAAAATAAAAACATAAACGAAAAATTAATAAAATTTTGATCATTAAGTTCATTTATAGCTAGTTTACAATTATTTTTTATGTAAAATAACAATTAAAATATTTTAATACAGTTATAAATCGAAAATTAATACTATAGATCTGTAAAATTATATTAATTTGTGAAAAAATATATTTATAATTACATATAATATTGTAAAAAATTGTTAAATTCATAAATTAATAATAAAAAATATAAAAATTATTGATCATTCTGGTCTTAGAATCAGTTTTAACATATTCGATAAAATACGTATATTGTCGTCGATCTTCGGTTATTACCATCTTATAAGTATGTCAAAGGTCGCGACGATTAATTCATTTGTTAGCGAACTTTCCTGATAGATAGATCGGAATTATAATATTTTAACTTTAACTTTTTTATATTAGATCGAATAATTTTTAGTTTTTTATTTTTTTATTATTTATTTTAAATTAATATTGTTATTATATATAGCACATTATTTTTTCGTTTTTAATTTTCATTTATTTATTCATTTATTACTTTATTCATATTTTTACATATTACTTTATTCAAACATATCATTTAATTATTTTTTGATTTTCTTATTCCTTTAATTATTTTTTTATCGAAAGATTAACTGATTTATTTAATTAATAATACATTTATTTATTAATTCAATTTTATTCATTTATTTTTTTTTTAATTTTTTAATGTTTCATTTATTTATATATTTATTTATCGTAATAAATTTTTAGATGCAGAAACTAAAAATAAAAATCGAAAAATTGATAAAGTTTTGATCATTAAGTTCATTTGGTTCATAGTTACTTTACAATTATTTTTCATGTAAAATAACAATTAAAATATTTTAATACAATTATAAATTAAAACTAATTTTAAAAATTAATACTATAGATCTGTAAAATTACATTAATTTGTGAAAAAATATATTTTTTATTACATATAATATTGTAAAAAATTGTTAAATTCATAAATTAACAATAAAAAATATAAAAATTGACAAATTATTGATCATTATGGTCTTAGAATCAGTTTTAACATATTCGGTAAAATACGTATACTGTCGTCAATCTTCGGTTATTACCATTTCCTATAAATATGACATAGGTCGCGACGATTAATTCATTTGTTAGCGAACCTTCCTGATAGATAGATCGGAATTACAACATTTTAACTTTAACTTTTTTATATTAGATCGAATAATTTTTAGTTTTTTATTTTTTTTATCATTTATTTTAAATTAATTTTGTTATCATATATTGCATATTATTTATTCATTTTATTTTTTAATTTTCATTTATTTATTTATTTACCATATGTATTCAGTTATACATTTTTTTTTAAATTTATTTTTTAATTTATACTTTCATTTATTTTTTAAAAAAAAAAATAAATTTTTATTTTATTTAAAAATTTTTTAATTTATACTTTTAATTATTTGTACATTTACTTGTTTCCTTATTTATTTATTTACTTATATATCTATCTATTGATTTATTTTTTATTATTATTATATATTATAAATATATTTATATTTTTTTTTTCTATTATATTTTTTATATTATGTGGGTCTCGAAGTAGTCACCTCCTCGTTGGTGAGACCTGGTA